AGGACCTGTCGTGGTTTTCTAATACTCCCCGATGCATGTGGTCAGTTGAATAGGAAGGGACTCTCTTTAACACTTAACTGAAAAGAAAGGATTAGAAGGGGGTCCACAGGCCACACTTAAGAATGAAATAAACATTATTATTGCCGCAATTGAAATGTGACGTCCAGGAACATTTCAGTTTCAAAATGGTGTTCAAGAGCATCAGATGACGCGTCTATATTTTAACTTAGGTGGAGTGTGAACCTTTCATGAATACTCCATCAGATTTTAAAAGCTTGAATTATGACCTCTTCTCTCCCTCTATCCCCCACCTCATTAAACAGATTATTTTTCTTATTTAAGGTGTCACATTTCATTTGCATAAAAGACCTTTCTGGCACTTGTACACCGTTTCTTATTTCTTCTAGTCATTTTATTAATTACTGTATGTTTGCTGAGGAAGAGCCCAAATATATCAAAATCTGGAATTAGACTCTCCAGCACCAGAGTTTAAAATGATAAAATTTGTCATTAAGTTAATTGCCTCACATTCAGCCAGTGTCAGTCAATGGTTGACATTTTTGCTTATGCAAAAATCTTAGATGGAGAAAAAATTATAATTTGTAAGACTTTTTTTCACACAAAATGTTATTTCTGCCTATCTGCCCTTCAGCATGTGATGAGGGGAAGTTGAGGTGGCAAAGGAAGGCCCAGGGAGCTGCCATTTGGTGGGGCTGGAGCCTCACATAAGCCTCCCTCCGTATACAGTGTGTCCTATCACTACTCCCGCTATTTGGAAACCCACAAAGATAGTTTGCCATCCTAGTACTTTAGGTCTTGGTGTAAGAAGGCCTTAATGTGTCCTCTAACACTCAGCTGTGGCCTCAGGTGTGCTGCTGTCAACATTAACCCTTCAGGTTGGACTCGGGCTGCCGCCTGTCTCTGTGTGATGTAGAACACGCCTAATGTACTGTTCTGCTGAGATTCCTCATTGAATAAGCCTTTTCCATGGTCCTTCCTTCCTGGGGTGGGCGAGGGCAGGGTATGGCCTAGAAGCAGAGTTACCCACATCGTGGTGCCTGTTTGACTAGGAGGCACCATTCACACTGAGGTCATTGTCAACTTAAACATGTACTATGGCCATTTGATGGAGATGGTAGTAAAGTGTCTTAAGAAAGAGGTATCTTTTTCTGGTTTACACAAAAACAATAACTGTGGGCTAGCGACAGCCTGCTCCAAGGTTGAAAGCAATACTCTGGCAACCTACTGGGTAAGTTCTGTCCCTTACCAGCTGCATGACCTTGAGCCAGTCTCTTAATCTCAGCTTTATCATGCGTAAAATGGGGATAATAATACATCATAAGCTGTTAGGATGAAAGAGATTATCTACACCAAGGAGTGAGCCCAGAGCCTGGACAGTGTATGGCGGATCTCGTAGTTTGACCCGCACATGTCTCTGCACACCTAGAGCTCTTCCAAACAACTTTCCATTCAAGGCATAGAAGAGTGTAAAATAACTTTCAAACTCTCTCTACAAGACTCATCACAATAGAGCTATCGACCTACAGTATGAATTAATTAGTGTGAATTCTGTAGCCTTCCTGTGCGGAGTTAGACTCATGTGTCAGGTGATTCTCCGGCTCCAACCATGCACATGAATATAATTCTAAAGAGGGCCTGCCTCAAGAGAAGTTAGAGCAGAGGGTGCAAGAACTCAGGCAATAGGTGAGAGAAAAGGAATAAAGAAGGAAAGATTAGAGCTTACTCTTTAGTTTTCCAGACAACGGATCGTCCCAGACAGGTCTGTCTCTGCCATGGCATAATTAATTATTACCAACTGGTGAAGAGGCTGTAAGCAGGTCAGACTTTGGCGGACTTAGAGATTGTGCAGACAGGGGCTGGGGCTGGGGGGGTCTTATCCACGAGCTGCCTGGCACTGTCTGTGTTTCAGGGCTTATCACAGCATTGGCTGTGGGAGGTGGGGACTCGAAGCCGCTGCCAACAGTGATCTTTAATGACTGGCTTTGCCTGCACTGTTTCCAACATGTTGCACACCAGTGTAATTCCTGTTAGTTACTGGGTTCTGGTGTCATCGATGCCCTGGAATTGTGTTATTGAACTAACATTCATTGTCAAACCTTTCCAAGATAAACCTATTTCTCCTTATCATATAAATGTGTTGATTCTCCTATGCTGTGTATAATGAATGGCTTTTAGACGGTTGTAACACCTTCACTGAAACATTTTCTCTCTCTCTCTCTCTCTCTGGTGTGTGTGTCCCCTCCCCTTTCTTTCCCCTCTTCTCCACCCACCCCCAGTTTCTTTCTCTTTCCTGAGGAAAAAAAAAATGGCAATTTCCCTTATTCTCTTACAAAAGACTGTCACGGGTAGGAGGAGGGGTCACTATTAGCATGAACGATGTGTCATTCGTTGTTTGGTAGCATGTTCGGGTCCACTTGCTCTGTGAAGCAAGGCTCCTGAGGCATGTTTATTGCACTTTCCTCCCCTCCACCCAGCCTCCCAGCCCCACCCGAGAAAAGGTGAAACCGTGTGTCACTCTTATAAGAAAATGTTTCAGTAAGCAGAACTTTCATAAAATAAGGATTCTCCTGACTCCAATTTTTAAGTCATAGCTGTGTGCACACAGGAGGAGGGGGCGGGAGTGCAAGGGGTGGAGGGGAATGTGTCTTGATTGGCACGCAGGGCAGGGTGTTCTGCTCTGAGGAGAAGTTGTAGGTGGCAGTGCCCGAGGTGAGGTGAGGCTGTGCAGGGGGAGCCTGAAGGCAGCTGAGGCTCGCTTGTCTGTCACTGAGCCATTGATGGGGAGCCACTGATGGTCGAATCTGAATCTGAACTTGAACCATCTGTCGACAGGGATGCTGTCATCACCGTCACTGCTATTCCTCTGGGCCTCTCTTCTACCTGTATCGTCTACTACCATGATTGTCAGTTCTGTTTTTTTTCTGTTTTATGTCCTCAATACTCTGTCTTATGCAGTCAATATGCTCCTGAAATGTTGTGAATAAATTGTGGTTTTAAATAACATTAAATTCATCTTAATACAGAAAAGCATAAAGAAGAAAACAGAGTGGTCTAAAATCCCATTCCCTAGGTGACCCTGTTAATATTTTTTTAAAAACAAGAGTATGTATATTTCTATGATTAGAGTGCATATATGTACGTAGTACAAAGGTGTGAATTGTACAATTAGTGCAAGTTGTACATCACAAAGCACCCCCACTTCCCTTACCACCTCCTCAGTCCTTAGCACCTCTCCCAGCATTAGGGGTCTGTGCAGGGTACAAAGCACTGTGATAAGAAGACAGCAATGAATAAGGCATCACCCTGCCCTAAAAGAGGCTGTTAGTCTAGTGGGTCACAGAATCATGTGACTTATAGTTGCCTTTTGTTTGGCTTGCACTGTTTATTTAAATAAAAATTGCCAACATTTAAAAATCAGGAGAGTTCACATAAAAATGGTTTCCCTTGAAAAATCTGAAAAACTATTTACCATGGGCCTGCATTCCCACATGGCAACCATCTTCGTTGCTGAGGAAATGCTGCCCGCTTAGCATGTGTTCTCCACTTGGCCACAAGCCCCACTACCCGCTATTGTAGACCCAACACTGAAACCTGATGGCAGTTGTCTCCTATCATCATGCCTGGGCTTTCTTAGAGTAGAAAGTTTTCAGAACCCCTGTTCCTGTCAAATGTAGTGGGGTAAAGCTACTCCAAGAGGACCGTGAGCGTTTTCTTCTATCTGGCCTACTCCCCTGAAGGCACTGGAGTTTGCAATTCCAATCCAAGACGTCCAAAACATTCAAACTGAAAAGGGCCTGGGGTGGACTAGTCCAAGCCACTTGTTTTTCACTTGGGGAGGTTCAGATGCTTTCCGCTAAATCATTTTGGAGAACTTGAAATATAACAGCTTTGTTTAAGTTAATACAGAATGCAGTTTATACAGTTTTATTATAGTAAAGGAACTTCGTGTCACACTGATTAAATTTTTTCCTGATTGACAAAACTTTTCTGTGATGTGCGCCAGGGTATACTACAAAAGGGGGTGAGTTGATGAGGACTACACAAAACATAGAAATGCAGAAACTGGCCACAGAAATCATTTCTTCTGGGGGTAGGAGGAGAACAGAGGAGGAAGGAGGGGAGGTTATCAAAAGGCTTGGCCCAGTGGAGTCAGACAGTCCACATGTGTGACCTGGGCAGGTTGTTATCCTATCTGAGATTTAGTTTCCCCATCTGTAAAATGGGGATAATTACGCCTATCTCACAGGTAGTGCAAATTAAGTTACATAATGTCAATAAAGTGTTTAGCATTATAAGAAAATGCTTAAGCAGTAGGTCTGTCATTGTCAGTATTACTGAGGCAGCAGTTCCGGATTCCCGGGTTTTCAGTCATTTGGCCACTCAGTACACATGCATTGGGCAGTGTAATTGTGGATACGACACTCGAACTCCCAGAGTCCCTTTTTCTGCATCTGCTTAAAGGGAAGCATAATGCCTGCCCCTCCCCCACCCTGAGGTGTCAGGAACTCAACTGCAGGTGTGTTTGGGGGCCACTTGGTGGCATGTGCAGCACTGAACAAATTATTGTAACTACATTACTATTAACTCAGAAAGTTTTAAACTAGGATTTTAAAAGATGCCTGTGATACCCCAAATTACTTAACCCTCACTATAAGCTTTACATTTTTCTCAAGCTTAACTCATCAAATGAATTCAATGCCTGATATTATCCAATGCAAATATTGAGATAAGCCCAGAAAAGATTTTCTTGTGTACCTTTACTTTGTCTGCATCCCAGAAATTAAATCAGAAGAGAGAATGCTGGGCTAGAGGAATAGCCTGATGAATAATTGGCATTTGTGTGTTTTCTCTAAGGAAAACAAGAATCAATAGAACAACACAAAAACGTGCCTGCTTTGCTGAAGTACAAATTGAAGTCAGAAGCAGACACGGATTGCTCATGTAATGACCACCATGATGCACGTTTATTTCTTCCCAAGGTGTTAAAGCTTTGGTAGCTGGTGAGGTTGGAAGCCCCACCCATGTTTCACTGCACTGGACCAGGAGCCTGGGCTGGAGGAAGGAGTTCGGGGCAGGCCTAGGCTGGAACTTCTCTCCACCTCCTAGCAGTGAGCATGATCAGACATGGACAGGAGTGTGGTTATGTTTTGATCAGTGCGTAAAATGTATTTGGCTACAGCTGGATATCTCCCTGCCATGGCAGTCTCTAGAAGACGGTGTACAGTGTAGTACTGAACTGGGTTGGCATGCTCAGAGCAAGACAGTGGGAGCTTAGCATTATGTCAGCTCAGGACCAAAGAGACAGTGTGTGATTATTTATTCACTCATCTATCATTTTGTTTATTCAACAAATACTGAGATGTTCCGGACCTCAGGATTACAGGAGGGAAAACAAGTAGATGGTGATACCCCTGCCCTTGTGAAATCTACACTGTACTTTAGAAGACTGACATTAAATTGTTTAAATAAATAAACGAGGTATTTACATAACTGTGTCTTACGAGGGCAATAAAGAAAATAAAGAGGAGATAAGCTTCCCCAATCAGAGACAGCCTCTGAAGATGTCACACTTGAATTGAGATGTCACCACAGGCATTGGTCAGCCCTGTCCTTGACAGGAGATACTCAGCAGAGGGAACAGTGGGTACAAAGGCCCAATGACAACAAAAGTCTTGGCACATTTGGGCAACAGAAGGGAGGCCTCGAGCAAGAGAGAGGGTGGTCTGACAGCACTGGACAGGTTAGGCGGGAGCCAGACCATGCAGGACCTGGCTGAAACAGTCCGCTGGCCGAAACGGCAGTGGCTTGGCCTAGAGTCGACACAATGGGAACAAGAGAGCTGAAAGGGTTTAAGGTGCGTTTAGAGGTAAGAGTGAACAGAACTTAATGATGGATTGAATGTCAGGAGTGAGGGAAAGAAAACCCAGGATGACTCCTAGCTTGAGCAACTGAGTGGATTGTGGTGACATTTGCTGAGGCTTCAAAGTTAAATAACTTGCCAGACCTCACTCAGCTAGGGCACTGGAGTCTAGTTTGTGAATTTACTTTCTCGGTTTATTTTTTTAATCTGTGAAGTCAGACAATTAGATTAAATTTCCAAGATATCCTCCAGATTTTCAGTTACATCATCATCTAGATTAAATTGTTGATACAGAAACAACCTGAGGTTGAGGATTATGTAATCCTGTCAGACTCTGGTATTTTTCATAAACTGTGCTGTGATGGACATGTTTATCTCAAAACCAGTAAGCAGAATCTTGAGGGTGTCTTCCCTTACACATACAAAAGAAAAAGTAGAAAAAGTGACTTTTTTCCCCTATTCTCTTGGGCACAATGTTTTTCTGGAGTTTCTCAGCAGCACGGTAGTTTGGACTGTCGTGTAAGGTTAGATTATAAACTGTCTTTTGTAGTCCCAAACTAAGACTGCAAAGCCGAAACAGTGAGTTGTTTACAGTGAAGGGCCCTGTTTTGCTTTCTGTCCTGCTTGTGCCTCCGCCAAGCAACCACTCTAAATCTCTCCCTGAGAAGAGAAGCCCCTTATTGGACTTCAAGCCACAGGATCAGTTAGGATGCTACAGGAACACAGAAAACCCAACAGAAAGAGCCTTGACAGTAGAAACATTTAGTGTCTCCAAGAAGAAGAACAGGCTGGCCTATCAGTTCGGTGATGTCTCAGGGACCCAGGTTCCTCACCCCTCTACTCCTCCTGGGCGCAGGGCTGTGAGCTCGTGGTGCAAGACGGCTGCCACAGCTCTGGGAAACACACGCGCCACACGAGGCCAAAGAAGTGGGTCATTTTCTGCATTGTGTCTCTTCCAGGGAGAGAGGAAGCCCTTCCCAGGAGCCCCAAGCAGACATCTCCTTGTCCATGGAGCACCTCTTCCCCCTCCTAGACACACATTATCCTTGACTTTACCCCTTTCCTTTATTTCCTTATTCTCTATGACCTATCCATTCTGGTTGTAAACAATCCATCCCCTGCCCTCCATCCCTGCGTTTACTGCATTAAATCAGACCCTCATAAACTCTGCCTGCTCTCCCTGCGTCCAGTTTATCTTCCACAAAGCCACTGAAATAATCTTCTAGAACACAACTCTCATCAGATCACTATCCCGCTGAAAACCCTTCAGTGGTTCTTTATCACATATACAATTCAATTTTTTTTCTACCTATAGGAATGACCTCTCCACTTTTTAAAGAGAATACTTGCACAGCAGCTCAAGAGAGCTCCAGATGGGTGTCAGGCTGCTTTGGCTGAAATGGGGGTGGAGAAGTGGCTTATAGCTCCTCTAGGTGGACCCCTTCGCCTCCCTTACAGGGAGACCCTGAAGCCTTTTCCAGATCCCATGTAGGCAAATGGCAATGCCTAGTAGGCAGTCAGTATGGACCTCAAGAGTGTCAACCAGGCTAGCGGTGTAGACTGAGATGGAGGTGGAAGCCAAGTCAGGAACATGCTCTGTCAAAGTGCACAGGGTGAGGAGGAAGAGGGCCTTAGAGCGAGACAACTCCCAGGGTTGCACTGATAGACTGCCCCGGCGCCATCAGTATCTGACAACACAGTGTTTCCATTTCACCTCTCAAACGCTAAGAATGTTCATTCTAGGAGAATTCGTGCTCTCGCTGTGTTAGACAAGTTAACACAGTCAGATGCTTGAGGGCAAAGTAAGGATGGTTGAAGACCAAAATGCGACTAATATCAAAAACTGCGAATAACGATTTCTAATCATATGAATGTTCTTCTTGTGTTTATATTTTCATTCTTACAGTTTTTTTTTAAAGGTAAAAGATTTGTGGTTTGCTTTGATAATCCTCAAGATTAGTATTTTTTTTCCTTTCACAACGCTTTTCATGTCAGAAATCCTGAGTTAACCAACATTTCATGTGTTTCCATGTCTGATCAGGGCAGTTTTGAGTTAACCAGGCTTTAGAATGGAAAGTCGACTAGAACGATAGTAGCTGAATATGCTCCTGATTTTCCGTCTTGATATCAACCTGTATTTATTCTTAATGTCTATTTAAGAATTCAGTCTTTTTTGTTGTTCTATGAAGACGAAAGAGCTGTTTAGATGCAGCTTACATGCTGCTGTGAAATGTGACCTTCTTAATGAGAAGGTTAAATATTAATGAAGACTAATTGATGAATAATTTTAACAAGTAACAAACAGCATTATCAGTTTGAAGGAGGAGCTTAATGGGTTGTGCATCTCAGCAGCGGGTGTTTGCACCTTCGGTGACACTGTCAGAAGTGGTGGGGAAGGAGAGGGGGCTGGACAGAGGGCACTGGGCAGGTGATGAGGGCAGCCTCCAACTAGACCAGACTGTCCAATTCCATTTGCTTTTATCCATTCTTGTCCCAAGAACAAGAGGTTTGCGGAGAGCTCATCCCACAGCTCTCCATGACTGTAAGATCTGGCTGTTGGCATCTGTCATTTACTGGCCCTTCCAGGCCCTCCAGCTGAGGTGCCCAACTCCCACCATCCTCACTTTTAACTGAGATTTCACAGAAACTGAGCTCCAACAAGAAGCAGAAAATAAGTATCAGTTGTCTGGAGCTTCAAAGTGATTCTCATTCTCTCCTAATCCTTCTAAGTGTGATACGCATTTAGATCAAGAGTAGCAGAGACAACAGTGATTTGGGAAAATGATCATGTTATCCTAGTCTATTTCAGTGACACTCTAACATGGTTACAAAAATCAGCTGTCAGATCTGATCAGTGTTGTTGAAGTGAACAGCCGTCATTCCCAGAGTGGCCGGGGTCAAAATCTCACCCAGCAGGAGCAGTTTTAATGACTGAAGCATCCAGTAACCACGAGAAGCAGCCTAACCTCAAAGCACTGCTGACCTGCTACATGGCCTTTCTTTTCTGTTTTTCAGGCACAACGTGTTTGATTGCTCTGCTGTCAGATAAAGACCTCACCGTGGCCAACGTGGGCGACTCGCGTGGGGTCCTGTGTGACAAGGATGGGAACGCCATTCCTTTGTCTCATGATCACAAGCCGTACCAACTAAAGGAAAGGAAGAGGATAAAGAGAGCCGGTGAGCTGGTGACACCGCTGAGGACCGTCTGCTGTCTTGCTTAGTGAACAAGGCAGCTTGCTTAGAGGGCCCTGGGAGATATAACGTTCCATTACCCAGTGATGAGTCGATCAGTACAGAGGCTGCTGCTAAGGCAGCCAAGACTGGACTTTGTATTATTTTCTTTGAAACGAATGGCCACTGAATTTGCCCTTCTTCCTGGCCAAAGATTCCAAAAGAACCAAGAAATCCCTTAGTTTAAAAGGCTAATGGGGTGGGGGAAGAGGGTAACAACTCAGTGGTAGAGCGCACGCTTGCCATGCACGAGGTCCTGGGTTCAGTCCACAGTACCTCCATCTGAAAAAAGGCTAATGAGATCTTTAAGCCCCTACTCACCATACTCCGCTTCCCTCCAGCTATGCCAAACCACCAGCCAGTCACCAAATGAACCATGGATTTGATACCTCTGTGCCTTTGCAAGTACCTTCCCCATTGTCTAATGGAGAACACCGTCTTTGTCCTTTAAGACTCCGTTTTTAAGGGTGTCCTTTCAGAAGCCTTCCCTGTCACACTGAGCCAACAGCTCCCCCAGCCTGGGTTAGACATCCCTTTGCTCTTCCCTGACATCCTGTGCAGACCTCTCAGGTCTCCTTTCACAGTGTCCGAACATACCTGGCTCTCTCACCTGTCTTGTCTTTCTGACTGTGAGCTCTTTGAGGCAGGAACTTGGTCTGCTCATCTCTATACTCCCAGCACCTAGCTCAGTGCCTGTTCTAGGTAACTATTTCAGCTGGGGGGTGGGGGAGGAAAGAACCCCTTTTTCATTCATTCTTTCAACATCTAGGGGCTGGGGATACAAACTTACAGGCTGGAATCGAGGTGGGGGTAGGGGAGGTAGTAGATAGGCAGATACTAACAATAAATAAGTAAAAATAGGTAAATGATCTTGTATGTTCCCAGGTGATGACTGCTATTGGGAGACATGAGGCAGGCAAGGGAATGGGGAGGATCGGAGGTGGTCAGCGTAGGACTCACTAAGGTGACACTGGGACAAAGACTTGAAGGAAGAGTATCAGTTGATGATTACATTTTCAAAATTCAGTTTGGGGAAGATTCTTTTCTATTTGTGCAGAGCAGGATTCCTTCCCTCCCCAGACTGACAGCCACGGCAGGTAGGCTCTGTAATGTGCCAAGTGGCAAGCCCAGCTGAGGGTGCCTGTCCCCTGGGTCTCTGCCCAGGAAGGGCCCCTGCTGCCTGAGGGCATCTGCAGGTTGACTCTCAATCTCTACACATCAGCTTCTGCCCAGGACCTAATCAGCACTGGAGTTTTCCCAGTAGGGAGCTATACTGTTGAGTTCAAAAGTGTTGAATTTTATTATTATCTCCCGCTTCAGTGACTGCTTGAGACGCAGAATAATTTTTAAAGAAAGCTTTGGTCAGGTTGGCGATGAGATGGAACAAACAGTGCTTTCAGAGCATCTATCAGGCTTTGATGAGCCTCCCTACTTACAAAAACACCACCTCCCCATGAATCCACTGTGACCCTGGATGTGCAGTACAGTGAGCCTCCTCCGGTGTAAGCGCAGGCAGGAATATGTATACGGTACATCTGGAAATGTCACGTTAGCATCCAGCGCTCCCTTCTGAAATGTCACTCCCATTTTATCCTCCTTCCTCTTCCCTGTGGTGCCCACCCCACCGTCCACCCTCCCCACCCCCACAGTCATTAGAGAAGCAAATTTGGGCACCATGCCCAAGGAGGTTAATCTAACCTGCTGCGTCAAGGGTGTGTTTTACAGCCGGGCTTAATGGACAATGATTGGCTTTATTATCTTTATGTGTGTTTTCTCTGACCTCAGCCTTCCTTGCAGGACACCTTTCCCCCTCCTGTTCTGTGTGACAGTATGCTGCAGCCAGCCTGGGCCAAACACACGTTGGTCCCTCTGTCCCCACCCCTCAGGCTGCTTCCCACAACAGCAGCAACACCAGCTGCCATTTACCGTGTGCTCACTCTCTGCCGGGAGTTAAGCTGAGCGCTTTACACACATTCTCTTTCCCTGTTGTCCTCATTTTGCAACCAAGGAATTGTATTCTCAAAGAGGCTTGTGTGCCCAGGGACACACAGCTGGTGAGTGGTGAGACCAGAATTGAGATCCAGGACAGTCTGACCCCATCGTTCAAAACCCAGCTCACTGCTCCCTGACTGTCACAACCGGAAGTCTTCCCTCCCTCCTCCGTCTGCCTACAGCATTCGGCAGATGCTAGTCTCCCAGAAAAGATACTGCTTTGTGCTTGTAGCTGTTGATACACATGGCTTTCCCTCCTCCCAGATTACTCCTTTAGAGAAAGATCTGGACCTTGCATAACTTTATAGCCTGCAAATTGCCCTTCATGGAGTATAGATTTAATAAATATCTGACAAATAATATATGAATGAACAACATTCTAGCTCCCTTAAAGAAAAAAATAACAATAGATAATATTGAGTGCATGTTATATTTAAGCATGGTGCTAAGGGATTTACATGGATTAACTCCTTTATTTCTCACAACTCCTCTATTTCCCTCAATGAAATAGATACTATTATTGTCCCTGTTTTGCAACCAGGGAAACCAAGGATGGGAGAGAGAGAATTTCTCATCCAAAGTCACACAGTGGAAGTACTAGAGTCAGGAATCAAATCCAAGCAGTCTGACATGAGAGCCTGAGCCTTTAACGACGGTGCTGAAATATACAGATCTCTAATCCTGATCCTATTTGGGAAGCTGTTTTGAGATTGATAGAGTCACACCCAAAGGCAGCCTCAAGCTAATAATGGACCCCAGTGGTCACCTCTGTCACCTGTCCACCTGCCTCTTTTGCCGCTCTCCTCAGACCCCCATCCTAGTGCTCCCTACTGTCAGTCACTCAGCTGCCAAGGTGTCCTTAAGTTCACGCTGAAGCCCTCACCCATCCATACTTTCTACTCTCAATATTCTTTTTGATTTAGTCTTGAAGGCCTATAAGATGAGGGTGTGTGGATCTACTGGTAGAGCACCAAGCCTGAAGGCATGCGGCAGGAACAGTGCTCTGTCCTGGCAGTGCCAGGGTCGGGTGAGGGGAGCACATACAATAGGTCACATGCACTAGATCCTGCTGTGCCTGCCCCCAGTCTGCACCAGGTGCGAGAGAGCAGCTGGTCAAGCTAATGGGCTCGTTCTCTCTTTCCAGGTGGTTTCATCAGTTTCAACGGCTCCTGGAGGGTCCAGGGAATCCTGGCCATGTCACGATCCCTGGGGGACTATCCGCTGAAAAATCTCAACGTGGTCATCCCAGACCCAGATATCCTGACCTTTGACCTGGACAAGCTCCAGCCCGAGTTCATGATCTTGGCATCAGATGGCCTCTGGGATGCCTTCAGCAACGAAGAAGCTGTTCGATTCATCAAAGACCGCTTGGATGAACCTCACTTTGGAGCCAAGAGCATAGTGTTACAGTCATTTTACAGAGGCTGCCCTGACAATATAACAGTCATGGTGGTGAAGTTCAGGAATAGCAGCAAAACAGAAGAGCAGTGAACCCTTCGGGGTCTCAGCTGCCTTAGACTAAAGGACTTTCAACACCCTGGTCTCTTTTAATGTAGTGAGAGGTGTGGGAGTTACAGTTAGGATCATCCACCCAGACGTGGGATGCCCCCTCCCTGGCCATCTTAAGTCTATGTCCCGCGATGAAGAGGGTGCTTTTGGCCAATGTAGTTGAGAGGCTGGAAAATGGTTTCTTTGTGTTTTCCCATTTTTTCATCCAATGTTCAAAGTATATAAATATATAGCTGTAGATTCACATGTGTGAAGTGAGCGGCATGTGTGCCATATATACTCCTTTTCAGATTGTTTTCAAGATCCCTCACGGGGCCCTCCGGGCATCAGGCTTTGTGTCCTCTCATTGGAGCGGGAAGCAGGGCGCAGGGAGCCAGGGCCGAGTGGCCACGCCCTTTGCTGAGAGACAGAGCGGTCCTGAGAATGCTCTGTCCTCCTGAGCCCAGGTTTTCTGCTCTGCAGCAGCCCAGAAACAGATTTGGAAATGGTTTTATTATTATTCTGTGGCTGCTCTTGGAGGCTGAGCAAGTGGGGAGGATGAGAGTTGCCTGCACAGCGGAAATAACCTCTCGCCCTCGCGCCCCTTATTAGTTAAACAGACTTTGTGTACCACCCGGCCAGTCTTTGTGCGTTTATCCTAATCGTGCATGACCTTAACCTTTTGCTTACACCTTACTGTATGTGATAGGCAGCTGTTAAACTTCACCCCCAGACACCACAATTTTTCACTTTACCAAGAAGTGACAAAAGCAAATCGCGATACCATAATTCCTTCCGTCTCTAAGAGTAGGTAGAGGAAAATAATGGCCGAGTAAGTCACGGTGCCCCTGGGGAAGTCTGCCGCCTGCACTGGGAGAGACAGCTGGTGAGGTCGCCATCCTGAATTGAGCTCCAGCTGCCCGGTTTGGGGCATTTTTTTTCCTCCTATTCTGCGTGCTCTCAAGTGTCTTTCAATCAGTGTTCTGAGAAGCTGCGGCCTAGAACTGCGTGTGCGTTCCTTGAAGCCGAGTACAGCTCCCGGCTGCGCCTTGGAACTTGGCGGTGAACCGCTGGGCTGTGCTTCTGCTTGACGGTGCAGAGGCCTCCGTCTTTAACATCTGATTGCAAGTCATTGAGTTATTGTGGAGCCAGACTTGCTACTTTCCATTTCTTATCACCAAAGTCACGTTTCCAATCTCAGTATTTTACAATCACAGAAGAAGCTAGGTCATCCGGTGTCCCTAATTGAGGTGGCTCAAACAGTCAAACGAGATTTTCATTGCATCTCCACCTCTGTGTGTCCGAAATGCCAGGGTGTCCACCTGGTTTTGTCCTTCCAGCGTGGGCATTTGTCATCATAGCTTCTCAAAGGCCCCACTCACTGGCCACCTCCTGCCCATGGTTCCGCCGCGCCCCCCACTTCGTCCGCTGAGGAGCTGTCCTGAAGCAAGTTCTAGGAGTGAACTCAGGAGGGTGAAGAGATCCCCTTGCGGCTGCCAAGAACCATAATCTGTCTGAATTCCCCCAAGTATATAACCTTTCTTTGACTGAAAGAATTCAGTCATGATTTCCCAAGAGATTTGCTTACTTTTTGTAAATTGTAACATTAGCATTTCCAATATTAGAATTAGAACCTTGGTTTTTTCTGTTTTTAGTTGTAGCACATTTAGCACAAAATACCTGCCCCCATGTTAGATCGGAGTATCCGCCTACTGAGAGACACAATATTTGGATGTGTGTATTTGAGGTGGGGGTGGGGAGACGAATGGAGGATTCATGCTGGGTGTGATTGATGTTGGACAGTCAGGCCAGGTGGACCGAAATTTGCTTGGCGATTGAGGACAGTCTGATTCTGGAGAGTTACCAAAGCCCACATCTAACTGGAGTCGAGGAATAAGCAGTGTCTGCGTTTCATGGTACACAGTCCACTTTCCTTTTATTTAAACTTAACCCAAAATTCAGAATAGCAAGGGAAAGACACTTTTTAATTCTGTGATCATTGTTATTGTCTAAAATGAAAATGGTAGTGTTTTGGTTCTTCTAAACTTTGCTTTGTAGAATTAATTTATTTCTGATTTTAACCAAGTAGTGTGTATATTTTCTACTCCCTTTCTGCCTCTTTTTCACCCACTTTGGCTTGTAGATTTTTTAAAAATAGAAGTTCTAAGCTAAATAATAGTTGGATTAATAGTTATGTCTGAAATCAAAGTACTTCGTTACCTTCTCTCATCCTCCTGGTGTTCTCTCTACCGGAGCCTCCTCCAGCCCCTGGGGGTCTGCAGACAGCACCCCGGGGTGCCCTGTGGCTCACCGGCCACTTTCTAGGGACAGGGAAGGTTGAGTCTAGTTAGAGAAATTGATTTGAGAAGTTTGCATGTGACGCTTCCCTAAACAGCACTGCCAAAGCTTTGGAACTGTCACCCGAGGCTGCCAGACTCCCTAGCCCGAGTTCGCATTGCCAATAGCCCTCATGGTGCCAAATTTTGGAACAGTTTTACAGCCTTTTAGAAATGAAACTGGGAACAAATGGTCACGTGCTTATGAGCCCTTAGCATGATGCCAAGCCCAGGTCTTCATTAATGTACTGCCTTCCTGCTCCTCCACCGGCATTCATACTTTTAAAATGGGTTGAGATGCGGTGGGCATGGGGTGGAGGGTGGAGAAGGCAGGGAAATTTTTTCTTAATTCATTGTATTTGCAATTCTCTAATCAAAGGAATAAACAGTACTTATATGGAAAACTTCAAAGCTAGTTCCCAAGACCGGCATTTATTTCGCATGACCAACTGGCCCGAGGCATGTAACTGTGAGGTCACGGTCCTAATACAACATGACTGTACTCATTACTGGTAACCAGTGGCCACGTTCTGTTCCTTGCCTTGGATGGAAGGGGTTGACCTCTAGAATCTTGTCCATGATAAGGGTATTACAAAGAGTATTTTAGAGAGTAAAGGAGCACATGAAATCTGGATCATTTAAAATAGCTCTTGTTTCACATAACTGTTATGATTTCAACCCATGAACATTTTGTGCAGACAGGATTGTGTGTGTGATGGCATCACCAGTCCTATCTGAAGTGATTCCAGGAAGCTGATTACACAATTGAATTGGATCGTGAGGATATCTGGCAATACGTCAGGGATTCACAGAGGGAGAGCTCACTTTTTCTTGGCCAGATATGCCTTGACTTGCCTGACTTTTTTCCCCTGAGTTGTTTTCAGATCTAACTCTTGCAGTTGTGAACACAGCAAGTTTAGAAAGGGCAACATTTAATTGTCCATCTGAAAGTATAGGAATACATACTCTGGGTAAGGCTTTATTTTCCAATGATCTCAGAAAATGTTTCCTCCTTTTGACCCACTGTTAGACTGATCTCTCAGTATTCCCCCTAGATTGTCTTAGCTCATCACACCAGCATTCCCGACCCAGCTCTGCAGAAATGACGCCTATTCAGTTGCCTCTGGATCAGTTTTTTTCTAGTAACACCAAGTAACATTTCAAAGAGCTTGTGTTCCATAGGATCTGCTTTAGGAAATTCTGGTTTATGGAAATATTACTATTTTCTCATTGCTATGACTCTTAGTAGTTGAAAAACAGTTAGCAATTTAGAAGCACTAATCCTTTCACAGGAGAGGCTGGTGTGTTAATGAAAGCAGTGTTAACAAATAGCATGATTTAATACGACCATCAGCAGCTCATGTTGATAGCAGAAGCCCAACAATCCTCCTTAAAACTCTAAACATCAGCTCCCTTCTTTTTCTGTGAATAGTAAGCAAGAGGCTTGCGTAGCTAGGGACTTCCTCAAACTCATTCCAAAAGCTTTCAGTTGCTTTTTTGAAATTATCTTTGCTTTCCAGATGGAATCAAAATATATATTTTTACATTTTATCACAATGTGAGAGTAAAAAAAATATTTAAAATAATAGAAAAGGGGGAAATGGCATATTTGGTATTAATTCATTTTTAAAATTCTGACGAGTTTTTTAAAACGATGTATCCATGGTATAATAATGGAAATGTAAACTATTTACACTTCCTCTCTCTTCTCATTCATTCTAAAATCCCTGTCCCATGTTGTCCCACCTTTCACATTTTATGTATATAGTTCAGCTTATCAAGTTATTTCTTGCCTAAAATGCAAGGCGTGGCTCTAGCTCCATAATTGTTACTCTCAGCCTGGGGAATATGTTTGGAAAGCTCTGAGAGATAATCCCAAAGCAACAGATGAAACAAATCTAGTCGAAAACATGGTACAAAGTGAATTTAGGGTAAAGTCATTATCTTAAAATGACATCCAGTATTTAGGAATATACCCTCCCTCTGGTTGTTATCCAAAATCGTATAAAACTGAAAGTAAAATCGCTTAGGCTAGGTGGCAAATGGCATAGGGCAAGTGACAGTTGACACTAAGGCTTCCATGAGATACATGATTCTAAACTTGTTTTCCAATATGTACATTTATTTGCTAATTCTCTATAATGTTGATGCTGTGTCCATTATTTTTTATTTTTACCTCTGTTAAGCTGCAAACTGTTTAACCAAGGGTTGACGATGATCATGTTTGTGTGCTTAGTAATAACCACACCATCATTTGTACAATCACTTCAATAAATCCAAGTTGAGGACTTTGAAAAGAGCATGTAGTAACTATTCATTTTAACCAACCAGCACAGGCATTTTCACAATTCAAATATCCACCAAAAAGCAAGCAAGGAGCAAAGATGCAGATTATATTTAGAGATATAGTTCCATTTATTCTATAATAAATGGAATAAATAAGTCCTATAACCTGGAATTCTTACCACATAACCCAGCATTCTTACCACATAACCCCCTCTGACATTTGCCAAATCCAAATTAATCTCAAAACCTCCAAGGACCAGAGTCCCTAGCTTTGAGCACAGGCAGATTACCATGAGGGCTCTGATTGCAGACTGTGCTGGAGGGAGGGTTGGGGGACAGGGCAGTCTGTCTGGGTCACTTGCTGCCTCTGTAGGAGAGGGACCAGGTACCAGCCACACTCTCCCATCACCTTGTGTCAGGAGGAAATTCAGAGGTTAAATGTGATGTCGTGCATTATCACAATGTGGTTCTACTATTTATTAGACAATGGGTAATTTAAAATGTGTTCATGCAGAAACAAAGGTAGAAGTAATAGTCAAGGAATTGGGGGGAAAACCTTTTGGATACTCAGACATTGAAAACGTAAAAAGTAGGTTATCAAAAATTTGGCTTATCAGACTTTTATGTGCATAGGTTGTATTTAATAGCAACTGCTAACAACTGCACAGAGGTCAGTAGAAAGCAGGCTTTCCCGCTTCTCACCTATTCAAATGCAAGGCTTCCCATGTAGAGTATTGGCTAATGCTTTGCTTATGTGTTAATAAAGACAATTCTAAAGCTCCTTTTTTTATAGGACTGATGGCACAGGTAGAATCATTCTTAAAAATAGTTTGAAACATTTTTTTTAATTTAAAAAAAGCAACATTAATTTCTGCTGTGATCAAGTTAGAATGTACAGAAAAGCATTTGCAAGAAAATGTACAAGATGAAATCAGAGAATAATTTAAAAGGAAATATTTTAATTAAAAAAAGAAGACATTATATTTTACTCCATCATGAGTCATGCTTTCTGACATCTGTGCTCTTTCTGAAGGAGACAACTTTGAGAAAAAAGAGAATGAATTCTGAGTTATCTATAAAGTTCATAAAATTGCAGTCCCAATTCCATTCTTACCCAATGAAAATGGATACACCACTGTCCTAAACCACTTTTACTGTCCTTGGTTCTGTTCACTTTCCAAATGCTTGACAGTTTTACCCTGAACCCTTTAAGAATTTTTGCATTTTTCAAAAAGGGAATACCCCTTTTTAGAATTTTTTTTTAAATAGTAAGAGACAAAATGCTAGACCTTCCATGTTGGAGTGCCCAAATAAAATTGAAATCAGATAAACATAATCACAGCTACATCTGGGGGTGAGTTTTAAAACTGTTAATTTTCCAAATGCCAGCATGAATACCAGTGAGTATTCAACTGAAAACAGACAATTTCACTTAAACAAAGTACAAGGTTGTTTAATATTCCAGATTCTTAGAGAGTCTTCCATATAATGAAAAGGATGTTTGCTTATATAATTTTTTAAAATCCTATAAGAATGACGCATTAGACATCTCTAACTGAAGAGAATGATGTTTCTTGTGCAAATTTTAAATTCCCATCTGTCTCAGCATGCAAAGACAAAAAGTGACTGCTTAGTATAATAATGAAAACGTGTAACTCCTGCTCCATGGGGAAAAAAAATGAAAAAGCCACGGGACTTTAAGCAAGAATACTCCCCCTATTTAAGCTGCAAGACTACATTCGGTCTATGTCTTTATCATCCTGACTGCCCTTTTATCTCAGGCATATATTTAGAAAGTGGAATAATCAATACAGAAAAGGAGACGATCTAATAACTTTTGCTTCTATTTTAGAGAGCAAGGTTTGCCTTTTTAAAAATTAACAGAAATATGTGTTCACATTGAAACACTGACATCTATGGCACTGTCTTCAGTTTACTGTTTCAATTTCTAAAGCAAATGGTTTTGATTTACAGCACTCACACCACTTCAGTTCAGAGTACAGAACTGAAGACTCTTTTGCAATGCCTCAGCATTCCCTCAGTCAGTCAGAAAAAGAAAACAAAAGCAAAAGAAGATGACATTTTAGTGAGTACAGAAGAATGATGATCCCAACAAGCCTGAAAAAATAGCAACGAAACAGTTAATTCCAAAACACGCCAACGTGAACTACGTTCACATACATAATTCTTATATACCACACGTACAAGCTTCTTTTTTTTAAATACAAGCGTCACTGCATTTATAACACATTGATCTATTTTATGAACAGGTTTACTTGGGAAAGCCACTATTTTTGCTATAAGTAAACCTGCTTGTATATTTTATTCTTTCCTTTATGATTATTAATATTAGTCATATTCTTTATTAGCATTCCTTTTTGAGCACCTGTCATATGCCAAGTGCAAATAGTCTAAGGGAGCATATCTAGAGGTGAGCACTTAGGCACCATCCCCACCTTGGCACTTACAGCCCAGTGGAGGCTGCACAGATATTATAATTCTCATTATTGGCTGAATGGGGTGAAAATTGGCATCTTTCATTATTTTCTCCAATGAGTTTAGATGTGTAAGGACAGGGCAGAATAAGAGTCATTCTTTCCTATACTTAAAAGACAGTGAATGGTAAAAGATTGGGAATATCTTGCCTACACCCGAGCAAACTGCATCAGATAATTTACTCCATGTTATGTCACCTAGTTTCCTAAAGATGGAGTGGGGAGGTGAGACAGGGAGCCTCTGGGGACCAGGGAAAGGGTAGGGCTGTTCCAGTGGGGAGCCACCACTGGAGCCTCCTCCCGGAGGGACAGCAGCCATGCAAGGGCTCAGCCATGGTATGATCCAAGCCAGGGTGTCTCTTCTGGAGGAAGGAGAGAATTACAGCAAAGGAGAACAGGCAACAGTGAGAACATCTCTCCATGGTCTGTTGCTATTTTTGTTCCCAAGAGGCTACGTCCCAACCTCATGTCCCAAAAGAGAACTCAGAACTGAGAGTGTTTATCATCTGTGTTCATTGAGTATATAAATTAGCAAATTTATGATATAGAAAATGAACATATTTCAGGAATATAATTATTTCTTGAGCTTAAATGTGAAGACTAAATGTCAGATTTTTTTAAATCATAAATTTGGTATCCATAGTTGCCCTAGACATTCCAAAATCTAGGCAAGGAATTTAAGTTTTCTATTTCGAATGAGACTAACAACATCTGTTTTCTGTATGACAAAGCAAAACAAAATGCCAGACTTGTATTTTTAACCACAGAAGCCATCACTTCTTTCTCAATTCTTTGGTCATCTTCCCTAGACACCTCTTTCTGTTTATGCCACTTGCTTCTTTATCCGAGTAATATTAGCTATTGCCAAATGACATTAGAATTCTATTGAATTCTAATAAGAGTGAGAATGAGGAGACATTGGGAATGACTCATTGGGATCAGAAATGGAATTTTTGTTGTTTTGTTTTTAATCATGAGAACGTATGAAAGGAAACTGAAATTAAGTCAAACCAATTTCTGACTTGGTACGGTTAAAACCATAGGAGGAGTCCAGTCATTAAGGAAGGAAAGGAGGGTTGGAGGGAGAAAGAGAAAACCCCACGTACCTAAGAAGTATGTTTTGTGCATGGTATATCTCAAAAGTTCTGCTCTTGTTCTCTGCTGAATTTTGAAACAATGACTTTGTATATGCCTTAACTATAGTGATTTCAACACCACGACAATTTTTTCATCGGCATTTTCTTGCTATTTTAAAAATCATGTTATTTGTTTATAAAAAAAAGCAGGATCCATGATATATTAGACAATGCTTTCTTTTAGGAAACTTCCAATTATATTTAATAATTAAATCACAGGTCAAAAATAAGTTTCAGATCAATCAGGCTTTCTGGTAAGTTAGTCCCTGAAAATGACTCATAATAAATACAACGAAAACTCAGCAAAACCTCATTACTCTTGGTACTCTTCAGAGGTTTTTATACCTACTAGTCTATATTTGTCTCTAAGAGATGCTTGAAATAGAAGTTAAAATGTCAAGCTGGTGTGGAGCCCAGAGTATATGGCAGTGCATGGTGACTCAAGATGCATGGCGTGTCATTCAGGTCCCTTGGATGTGTGCTAGGGGTAAGTTTAGCCTTGTAGAGACTAATGTGTTCATGCAATCACTGACTCTGTGTTGTTGTATACAAAGTGAACAGCTAAAAATTCACCTTTGATGACAAGATTCAAGCAAAAATAAACACATTAAAGTTATCGGACTTTATACACGGAATGGCTGCTATTCTTTTTCTTTGGGTTAAAGTCCTTTTACATTCTAATGTCTGGCCTGGAATTTTATAATTTCTCAAGGTTTTTGAGTTAGAGTGGCTGCTGAGCTGGGATTCCACGTAGAAAGCAGGAAAACAGTTCATGGCCCGAGGATAAGACAAAAACATAACAGAAGCAAGAGACAGGAGACATCGAGGCTGGAGTGCTCTCATCTGGAACACGAATAAGCCTGGCTCCAATTCAAAACAGAGTTACTTTTAAAAATGTATACAAATGTATGCAATAAAAATTGTTTATTGTTAACGCCACTTTAACCCAGCTTCATACCACAACAAAGATTACAGAGTATAACTAGTATTAGGTGATAAGGGTTAGATTAGCTCTACATACAGGTAAACTCCAGCAACGTGGCATGACACGCCTCAGAAAAATGTCCAGAAGAAAATCTCCATCTGCAAAGGTTTTCACAAGATGGAGAAAGGAACAGTGTGGAATTTACAGACAGAGGGAAATAAGTATACACACACACACGCACACATGTAATGCTATTTTTAGGTGTTCTAAAGAGGAAATGCTCAGATGTGAACAGCGCTTGGGACTGGAACAATAAAAGTTAATCACCAGATTGCTAAATTTGGAATTGGGGGTTAACAAAGCAGAAAAATGTGGCCTTGGATTATTTTTCTCCTTTCCATTAAAAATAATATTCGATAGCCAGAGTAGAAGATGCAGCCTGTGAATTCTGGTCT